CCAATGTTACTGCAATAAACAAAAAACTAAAAACAAAAAAATAAATAAAAGAAGAAAAAAATAAAAGAAAAAAGAAAAAGCCAGAGAGGCTGGGAAGGATCAGATCTCCTATGGTCTTGCAGATTATGATAAGAAATCTGGACTTTCCTTTCATAATTAGTAGGAAATTACAGCTAAAGACTCAAGAGAAGGAGACTAGAAGAGTATAGCAAGAAACCAGAGAAGGAATGATGGGAGCTGAAACTGAGAAGAGTCAGTGAGGATTGTAAGGAGGAACAGATACAAGAGAAGGTAAGGATCTATACTTAGAGGCAGTTAAAATAAAAAAGTAAACACACATGATCTTCCAATTAAAGATTTTATTTATATGAGATTTTAATAAAATTATTTAAAATATGAAGTCATAGTTGGTTATACATTTAGCTATTTGTTTTTATTGATAATAATAGATTACATGATATTAAGATTTTCCCAGAAAGTGGAGCGAGAGGATTCTTCAATCTATAGCCTTGGAACCTGGCAGAGACACTCAGCCTCCAAAACTTTATTTCCCCCTCAGAGGTCAGCACTGGTCTGGGACGATCCTAGATAACCTGGTACTAATGGGGCTGGTGCAGAATGAAAGCTCTAACTTCTAAAACTAGGATTCATACTCTAAGTAAATTCTAGGTAACTCAATTGTGGGTACTCCTCTAACTTAGGAGTTCTGATAGTGTTGATAAAGAGATCTATAGACCAGAGATTGGTTTAAAAGAGTTCTACAGAATCCTATAAATTCTAGAACAAACAGCATCCATAGATATAGGTTAATGGTCTATATTTTCAAAGCCACATTGCAGTGCTCTGACAGGTAGGTTTTTTGCGTGACACCAAACTTGTCATTTGCTGATCTCTTTGTCCTCCTTGGGTATCAAAATTCTATTCTGGCATAACCTTTTCCTATGCCATTAAAGGTTTATTACAAGTTAAAGAGTTATAGAAGCCACACAGATATTTTGGGAAGCAACCAGAACCAAAGCATCAATAATAAAAGTCAAGTAAACTTATTATATATCAAAGCACCACAAACGAAAGGTCAAGGATGTAAAAAGTGACCTTTACATTTTATAACACGACACAGTGTCTAGTTATTGTTTTCCAGAAATTATCAGAGAACATAGAAACCTTTAAACAATAGTTAAAATGGATAGAAAGTTTTAAAAAGTGCTTATTCAGAGTTTAGTGAACGCTCAATACGTGTTAATTATAAATCTATGTTACTATACATCTTACATTCAATAACTGTAAAAATAAGCTAAAATGTAGGCGTACATGTGCTCTTATCTATATTCCTAGCCCTACTCAACATGTAGCTATATCTTAAATATAAACCTATGCTCAAGTGAAATGTGAAAGGATTATTATTTATAATATTTTTTTTAAATCGAAGGTATAAGACTAGAGCCTGAATAATCTGGTACCAATCTACTGTAGCAAACTTCACTTAGAAGTGCTCGTGTCTCTTTGCATGATGTCTTGTAAATAATGCAACAAGTTAAGAGACTGGCCTTGGTTCAAGAGGAAAGTCTGATGAAAATGGATATAAAAACCAACAAAAGCATTTGTCAAGGAGAAATCTGAAACCCCAAATCATAATTCACAATTTGTTATTAATTATAATTTGAGATAAACCCCTAGTTATTTCTAGGTTATGAATATGTCTCCCCGATGACAGTCTTGTACTGATAGATCAGAAAAAAAAAATAGGCAATTCCTGAAAGTCACCAGAGGATAAAACTTATAGTTACATTTGGTTTTCTGTTCTAGAAGAGTGAGAAAAGATTACATTAGGGGAAAAAAACATTATTTTACTAAAGCCATTAAAAGATATTTCAAGGGGAGCTCAAACCAAGTTGCCATGTTGACAACATGCAATGCACTCTCATGTTTAAGACACAAAGGTCTCCATTTCTCTAAGGGAACTGCTTTTTCGGCATGACACTCTCTCTCTCTTGCCTTGGAGCCAAGTAATTGGAACCCTAAACATACGGCGGAGCTTCTGTTGGAACCGGTTTCCAACAAAACAATACAAAAAGGGATTAATGCAGCTGTTGGTGAATCCCAGGAGGATGGCAAAAGGAAGTGCCAGGTCAATGACTGCTATAACTTCACAGCTATTAATGACACCCATCCAGGCCAGAGCATCCAGGAAGGTCAGAACATGGAAGGGAAGCCAGCAAATGATGAACGCCAGAACCACAGCAGCGGCCATCTTCAGGACTTGGTCACGAGTTATTCTGTTCTTCCCATAGCTATTGGTCTTCAGTAAGTGTTTTCTGATTCCGAAATAGCATGTTGCTATGAATATTAAAGGAATAATAAAACCAAGGATATTTTTCATTAAGGCAATCCCAGCTGACCATTCAGCATATTTCTCAGGTGGGAAAGCCATAATGCAAGCATTCACTCCTAAATATTCAATGGTTCTGACATCTCGGAAATAAAACGTTGGCAATGAGGACAGACAGGCCATACACCAAACAAGGGGAACTATGTAAGATGCTTGCCAGGGATTTCTTCTCTGAGACAGAAAGGGATAGATGACAGATTGGTACCTATCAACACTCATACAGGTGATAAAAAAAATGCTTGCAAACATGTTTAGGGTCAGGAAAGAACCAAAAACTTTACACATCATAGGTCCAAAGAGCCAGTCATATCTGTAAGAATAATAGGTTGCCCAGAGAGGAAGAGTAGCCAGAAGCAGTAAGTCAGCCACAGCCAGATTGAAGATGTAAATGCTGGAAACCTTTTTAGGACCCTTTTGACAACAGAACAGTGTAACCACAACAGTATTGACAAGAAATCCAATCACGAAAATCATGTAGTAGAGAACAGGAATTGCATCTAAATGCTTATCTGATGGCTTATGTGAACAGTTAAAGGTAGACTCGTTGCCAGAGATGGTCACAAGTGCAAAATGAAGACTGCTGGTAATGTTTTTGCTGATGGTGGCAAGAGTGAAGTTGCCCTTCATGTTGAAATGTCAGGAGCTCCTAATTCTTATACCTTCTGTGAAAAAAAAAATGGAACTCTCAGAAAACATCCAGAGTTTAGGACCTCATTGAGTCACTAGCATTTTGAAAGTTTGTCAAAAGCAAAAAAGGTGGGTGATTATAGAAAACATTATGAAACTGAACCTTGCCTTATGAGATAAGAATGGATTTTACTTCTTGAAGAAGAAAAGAGAATTTTCTCAGTAGTACCAACAAGTTAAGACATTTCAGCATCAGAGACTGAAAATTCTAAACAAAACTACATTTTGCCCATCTTTCTATCATATTTTCAAAAGGTTTAAAGAAAATTAATATATCAAAAGGTTAGCCAAGGTAGGACATATGCGAAACAAATAAGAATGAACCAAAAAATAAGAAAAGTTAATATTTCAAAAACACTTGAGCACATATCTCATTCTGTATACTTTCTAGAAACCACCCTGCTGCCTGCTATTGCACAGAGAAATGCCTTATTCAAGTAACTAATTATACACAAATCATTACAGCTATGGAAAATATAAGTAACATAAGCTGTGGAAAAAATAAGTATACAAAAGACTGAAAGAGAATATGCAAAAGGAACATATTGGGATGGGGGATTATGGTTGGTTTTTACTAATTAAAAATAATTCCTTTAGTTCTACTTTTCCATTGTTTTCACAACAATAATATAATTAAGAGGAAGTTAGGGAATATGTGTGTATTTCTAAAAGCCCCCGTTCACATTTTAATAGAAACTATTAGTTTTAGACATAAATATTTAAGTTTAATCTATTTTAAAGAAAATCCATTTTCTTTTTCAATTAGGAAAAGAAAAAGAAAAAATAGCCAAATCTGATTTAGGGGCAAGTAGAAATAGTTTTCCTTGCGCAGTGAAATAAGAATTGAACATCAACGATTAATCATCATATAATTGTATCATTTTTCCTTTGCTATCTTTTCAATTTAACACAACTAAGTAGTAACATTGCTACATGGCTCTCAAATGTTATAATTAATATTCAGGTTTTTGTGATACTGGTTTTTTTTTAGTAGCAGCATTATTTTAAAACAAAAGAAAATTAGCTGTAGATAAACACAGCAAGGGAAAGACTATTACTTTAGATAGTTTCAAAAATACATACAAATAAACTACTCAATGAAAAACATAATCACCAAAGAATCTCTTAATAAACAGCAAAGGTATCATTTTTGTCTAAAGCTCATTCTCTCATAATCTTGACCTAACAAATTAGCATGAAAGAATCTAAAATAAACCCACTTGAAGACTTACTGGTTGTTGGAGTTTAAAACTTAGTTATCATAAATCAGCTTGCCTAGTTTCTAAGTGCACCCCTGTAAGAGAAACAGCAGTTAAATAATTTAGGAGTTTTGCAAAATACAGTGTTAAAATACAGGAAAACGGAAAGTTCATCCATTAAAAATATTTTTATTTAATGTATGTTCTACTTTCCAAATAGAGTATATATAAATTGTACAGACCTACCTTAAAAATTCAGGCTGAAGAATGCTTTTAATTCTGTGCTGATTTGTTCCCTTAGACTCAGGGACGTAATAGCACCAGATCTCTGGTTTCCTTCTTATATATTCGGTTTGTCCACTGGGAGCCTTCAACCTACATAATTCTAGGGCTGACTTATGAACACTTGCCAGCTTTCCAGAGGTTTTTTTTTTTTTTGGCTGCAAAACATTAATCTGAAATTCTCACTGTCTCCAATCATAACAGCTCATTCAAATAAATCTAAAACAAAAAAAAAAGAAGTTTCCACAAATGTGTTAGAGAATTTTGAACTCAGTGGCTTACTTTCAAAGAAGAATATAATAATTTGCAGAAGTTTTTCTTTCTTTTTCCCTAATACTGGCATTCTAAAACAAGTTAAGGAGTGTGGACTAGGGAATTTATTCTAGTAGCAGAGTCTTTGTCCACAAACATCTTTTGCAACCTTCATTATTTTTTAAAATTTTGCCCCTACGTATTAAAGAACAGTAGCAATGTTACTTGTCTACAATTTCTAAAATTTCTTCCTTGCTTTAAGCAATTTTTGTTGGCTTGTTGCTGGAGGGGTGGTGATAGTAGGGATGTAATTTTCATGTCTTAGAAAAGAGGTATTAACATTTAGTGTCTCCTTTCATAGGTCTCTGTCATATTTCCAGTCTAAATACAAAGCGTGCAAGGTAAAGAAGAATTAGGTAGCTACTGCAGCCTAGATCACTGTTGTTATTTCTTTTTGTGGGGGTTGGCGTGATCAACCTTACACAACCAGTCCAGTAGAAGCAAGAGTGACAAAAGGAAAAATGATAAGAACAGGTGATGGTAGTGATAACACTAGCTGACTATAAATGCTATGTGCCAAACACTGTGCTAAGAGCTTTATACTCAATAATGTAATAGAGAGGCAATAGAGCATACTGGTAGGTACATGGCCTGTGGGATCCAACTACCTGGCTTCACAAGATCAGCATACCACTTACTAATTCTATGACCTTGGACAAGATACTTTTTTCTTTGTGTCTCAGTTTTCTCATCTGAGAAATGGAGGTGATGTTAACTAGCTACATCATAGAGTTATGAAATTTAAATGAGCTAATATATTTAAAATGCTTAAAACTGTGCCTAGCACATGGTAGGTGCTATTATAAACTATTAATAGTACTTCCATTTTATAGATCAGGAAACTAGGGCTCACAGAGTTCATATAACTTTTCTGAGGTCACATAGCTATGAAACAAGGACATTTGAATTCAAAGTGAGGCAATCTAATGTCAGAGCCCATGCTCCTAACCTCCACACTATAGGAGGGAGCACTAGCTAGTCCTTTAATCTCACCCTTTGTCCTAGAAAAAGAAAACATGCAACATTTACAGCAAGTCATTGCTGACCATTCATAAGCTGTTACAAAAGCATTAAAGAAGGAGATAAGAGTTTAAAGGATTGTTATATGGGAGAAAATATTTTTCTTAATTTTGTTCCCAAAATGGAGACCACAAATAGGCGAAATGTGTGACTAGATAGTTTACTACAGTGACAGAAAACCAGAGAACCCAGGACACTTAAATGGGTATAAGGATTCCAGTTATTTCTATGGATCATATTTTTCTGATAGCGGTAAGAGTGTGACTATCCATGCTGCGGGCTGCCGGTGGAGGAGGGCAGGCTCTGAGGAAGTAGCTGGGGACCTAAGTCATGAGTCCAGCAGAAGGAAAGCAACGAAGAAGAAGCGAGGGTGGATGACAGAAGACAAAATTACTAATGACATGAGACAAAACAGATGGCTTTCAATATTTGTCTGTTTCTCCATTAATATTGAAGTCAATCCTATAGCACACAGGCAGACTGGACCAGTAAAAAGAGGTGACCATTGCCTGAAAAATATAGTAGGATTCAAAGGTTTGCACACCACCATTTTAATGTTTCTTTTGGTAGACTGAGTTTGAACATTGAGACAATGCTCCTAATATACATACACATCATTTTATTAAATCTCAAAATATTTGTTTCCTATGCTCTGGATAGATTCAGGTTGAGGCTCTGTCCAAATGATGGAAAACTGATGTTTGGGAAACAAATGAGCGGGCACATCTGGTTATCGGCAGGAGACTTGAAATGAGAACTGGTTTCACTCTTTGTTTAAGCCTGGTTTCTCCCTCCACTTCAGATGTTTGTTTTTGCCACATACAGGGGAATTTTCCAGGCCAGAACCTCCTGAGTGGTCACGATGGGTCAGATTCCCACCCTGCTCTATTTCTAGCCCCCTCTCATGCCCCTTGCAAAGAAACAGCCGGGAGGTGAGCTATAAACTTCTGAGAACAAACTGCAGGCTGGCCTCCGGGAGACCTAGCCTTGAACACCCCCAAGGAGCAAGGGACCTTGTCTAGAGCTTTTGTCCTTCATTACAGTAACTTCTGACGTAAATAAAGTTTAAAGAGGCACACATTTCCCAGAAGATTAAAAAGATATTTGCTCTGTTTCTTCATAATTTTAGGAGTAAAAATTTTCACAAGTCAAAGAAAAACTTTGTAACTGCAGGGAATTAAGGGAAAAAAGCAAAAAAAGAAAGAACAATAATATTGACACCACTTGAAGCAAGAAATAAAGCATATTATTGATTCAGCAAAGGACTCCAAGTTAAGCCAACAATGTAAATACACTTGAGAGTCAAAGAAATGTCAGTCATGGGAAGCAGTACAACACAAAACAATTCACTCTCCTAGGGGCAGGGGGTAATTTTTCTGCTAAAAGATTGACTTAAAAAGCCTCAGGTCATTTGAATAAATTACGTAGCTCTTGAGGACAAGTGCAGCTTGGTTAGCAAAATTAAACAGTAGAAAATCACATTAAACTAAACTTTTTCTAGTGAATACCTGTTATTTATTGTGAGATTACTTAACAGTAAAATTTAAAGGACCAGGTTAAAAAAAAAAAGAAAGGATGTCCTTAAGAGGAATTTCTCCTCTGCTAGAAGGATATGGGGTTCAGAAAAAATCTTATTTGTCCCTCTCACCCCCACTCACACACAGAAATGAGGTTTGAAGGAGAAAAGGAATTATTAAATGCAAAAGTCTGACTATGCATGCCCTGGTTATAAAGGTGAGAATTAGAAGTGCAGATCATGGAATGATTAAAGATGTATGGGCTTTCCTTTTTAATTTAAGTTTTTCAGAGTCATTTTAATTTTCCCACACTCCAGCCACCTCTCTGAGTCCCTCTGTCCAGACCACTAGCATTTCCACTTCTCCTGACTTCAACACACACCCACACACACACACACAAATATACTTAACACCAATCTTTCTTCAATTCACTTACCCATAGGGAAGCCTTACTTTAATTGTCACTGGACTTTTCCAAACCTGGGAGTCCCTAAAAGGAGAATAGCTAAGAGATTACCCATTATTGATACCTCTTTGCAGATTCTTTTTGTGCCTCTCTTTAGTTTCCAATATAATGAGAATAGAAACGTCAGGATGAAAGCAAGTGAGAAAAAAATAAGGTCCTCTATTCAGAACTAGCAATCAGATTGATCATTTTGTAGAAACCAGCCTAAAAATTCAGTAAAATGGCCAACATGAGTGATTATTTGCAACAAATTAACAGTCTGCCTAGGCATCACATAGAGAGTGACTGAGAGGACTATTAAATCAATTAACAGGATGGAATCCATGTAGGGAAATGAATAGATGTCTGACTCAGTACATTCCTGAGACCAGTTGCTTCCAGCTGAATCTGGTCCCAAAAACATAAGGAGAAGGAAGAGTTCCAATTTCCCTTTGCCCCAAAGGCATCTGCAGGCCTGAGCATCATGCTCAGACCAGGATCTCACAGAAGGCACCCTAGTTCTACCAAATAGCATCTCACTGCTATGTATCCCAACCGGTAGAAAAGTAAAAAATTGAAAATTGTCTATATTTTTGTTTCACATTCAAAATATCAGCTAATTGATCTAACATTTTCCCCTACTTATCTGACTAAATTGATTATCTAGGGTATCGGCATATGCCACCCCAGAATCTGCCACTTTGGTGTAAAGATAATCAAGAAGAAGCAACTGCAAGAAAAACTCTCTGCCCTCCCCCTATTTGCCTAAAAGCAGGACACAAATTTGTAAGTGTGTCTCCCTTTCATTTACCAGGAAGGACAAAACTCTTAATCTACGTAACAAATCTTACTAAAAAATACTTATCTTCTATTAGTTTCCCCCGTATATTTGCCTTCCCACAGTTTGCCACTCTAAAAGCCCTAATCCCTCTTTTTCTGTCTTGTCACTTTGCTACAAATGTATTGTTCTTTGTTAAGATGCTATACAAGCCCCTTTGAGTTACTCATCACTGAGTTCTCACATGTGTATACATGAAGCACATGTTGATAAACTCTGTTTTTTTCTACTTAATCTGTCTTTTGTCAGTTAATTTTACAGTCCCAACCACTGAACCTAAGAGGGTAGAGGAATTTTTTCCTTTCCTACAATTAGCTTGGCTAAATTATCCCAAATGGTCAATTAATTAAATTGACCAAACCAACCAGTTGTCTTGGCAATATTTAAATACCACTGTTAGGTAATAAGGATGTTTTGAAAGAGATGTGCCAGGTTGGGTCTCTCATTGGCCAGTGGATCAACAAATTATTAAGTCTAGAGTTTGGTCCTCAGTCTTAAGGTCCAGAAACTGAACTTTCTCAAGATACCAAGGCTCTCAGCAATGGACTCATGCCAACAAAATACTCACAAAACTGATATACCACATTCATTGCTAATGTATTATTTTACAATATGGATATACTACTTTCCAATGGCGTAAAGCTTGTGTTCCCTATCTAAAGCACCCTCTCCATCTCCTTC